TTATTTCCAAAAAAATATTTGAATAATATATATGTTATTATTTGTAAATATTATTTATTTCTTACTGACAACATCAATGTTTAAACATGAAATACTTTAGTATAAATGTTTTTTTTGTATTCATGTATAAAAAAAAATATAAAATTTATTATTGTATTCATAAAAAAATAGAATAATTCATAAATATCTCAATTTTTACAATTATATTTAATAAACAAGTTTTAATAAATTTAAAATAAAAGATAATTTATTATTAGAATACACAATTGTTTTATTCTGTAGTGTATTTACGTAATATCTATATCTTCAATTAATACTTTCTCACTCATTACAGATATCTTATATATTTATATACAAAGTATCTAATTCCTAATGGTATACAGATGCAGGTAGAGCGAGTCAAACTGAACAATAAAATCCTTTACCATTTTTTAATTTTCACAATTAGTAACGAGTTATTTATTATTAAAAATTATCGAATGAGCGTCCAATCCAAGATATTTATAGACGTGAATTTACATATGTTTAATAGAACATTTGCTTATAATGCACATCTCTAAATTTCATTGCGCTCCTAGCAATCGCGAATGCGCATGACGGTCGTCTATCGTAGCACATGTGCATTTGCCGGTTGGTGGTGGATACATGCTTATTCAACGATTTTTAATAATTAATAACTTGTTACTAATTGCGACAAAATGGTAAAAAACTTTTGTGCTCAATTTGATCCGATCTATTTGTACATAAACAGTGTATCATTAGGAATCAGACACTCTGTATATTAAATATTATTTTTTACTCAAATATTTGCTTTTAATATTAGAATTGACAGAAAAATTCTTAGTATTGTCAAAAAATAAATTATTTATATTTTAAATTTGCTCGCAATATAAATAATGTAAGCCAATTTTCGAGAATTACAACGGAACTTTCTTTTTCTCCTTTTTCAGTGTGTAGCTATCAAAATACATCCCTTGTATCTAATGCTACCAGCAGCTCTTTGTTGCTCTTTCTCGTTTCATCTACCAGTTGGTACTCCACCCAATGCAATCGCCAGTGCTGCAGGACGAATAAAGACAAAAGATTTCATGATTGCCGGTATTGGACCCAGTATTATTACACTCGTTATCACTGCAGCGGCATTCTCCACGTGGGGTACATATGTGTTCAATTTATCGGAGTTTCCCGAATGGGCCACATAGCGTATACTTCCTTTTATATTTATTTATAATTCGTTTTATAAAAGAGCGAAAAACGACTTTACGATCAATATAACAGGAGTATCACTTACATATATTTTTAATTTCTATTTTTAATCAAATTCATTTTTTTTTATGCAACTTCCAAAAGTAATAATGTTTTAAGAAATAAATATAGCGTAAAACAATCAAAGGAAAAGTAAAGTAAATCAAATTGTATTTTGTATGTTAATATTTTCATATAAATAGAAATTAACATCGATTTATTGAAGTTAACAATAAATGTAAATATAATTAAAATAATTTTATATCAAATAATATTTGTTTTCTCATAAGATACGTTATATCTAATATCTATTCAAATTAAATCTATAAACATATTTACTTATATATATAATATTGTAAAACATCATATTTTCACAAACTTTGATTATCATAAAAATATATTTAAAAATAAACAAAATCAACAATAATAACTATCATTGACTATTATCTAAACAATTTTTACATTATATCAAATAATTATAAGATATATATAATAAATATATATTATAAATGCATATGTTGTCATTATTTTAAAATACCTTATCATAATCATTTACATTTTTCATTTTGAAATATGTGCAAAAATCGAAACATAAAATATAGCAAGCGATGCGTTAGCAGCACAATATAATCAGAATGAGCACTCCATTCAAGCGACATTGGTCGTGGCTCGTCGCCAAGTGTAGGCGCTAGAGTGACGTTTCACGCGCGCGATGAATTGTTAATATCTATGATGATCGAATCTCAATAACGGTTGAACTGATTAAGTTTTAGATAGATGAAACCGATAGCTTGGATTCGAATTATACAATAAAAGTTTTTATTTTTCCTCTATGTACTCTATGAGTGAAGATATTATGATGTAAAGTTCGAATCTGGAAATTTACTTTTGTAGCGAT